TTTAAGTATCGATAAAATGAATTTAATAAATGATTAAAAAGGGATCTTATACTTCATATTTTTTTTAACTAACAAAGGTGTAGTAAAACTCTACATATTCTTCCTAAATCAGCTCTACGAGCATTAATTGTATGTATAGATCTACACCTAAAGGTTTAAGCGCTTAATTATATATAATTAATTTTGAAATTTGATTTATTGGAAAATTATAATATATCTAATAAATTGGGTACTTTTATGTTAGTAAATTGTTTTAAAACTTGAACAAGTAAGTTATTATATAGTTAATATATAATTTGTTTTTTGAAATCATATACATCATTGGAATCAAAACAATAGAATAACAAGTTTAAATGTCAGAACAATTTAATTAATTACATGTTCTTTGTGTAATTATTATTTTTACAAGTCGTTAATGAAGGTCTTTTTCCGGATTATCAAATGCACAAAACAACGTTGAGATCTATATTTTTCTATTTTATAACTTAAAATAGAAAAATTTCATTTGTTTTAAGGGAAATACAGAGCTTTAATGTTAATTCATGTGGCGACTTCTAGTGTAAGCACATTAATTTAATATTTTTTAATATTCCTAACACTTTCGTTTTAGTAAAAAGTTCTATAATATAGCTGAAAATATTTCGATATAATATGGTTGTAGGGAGAGTGGTTCTAAAACTTAGTTTCTGGTTTATAACGCTCTTAATGGCACTTTTCTTATATTTGACCTTTGGTATCATTCTTGATAATAGTCGTGCTATACAACGTATTCAAATGGATGTTCAGGATATAGCCATAGAAGTATTTAGACAAGATAAATGTGTTGCCAACTCCACAGCAAAACAAATTGATAAAGTTCTGAAAAATAGTTTACTCAATGTAATTGAAGATTTGCAAGCTCTCAAGATTAGATTGGAAAAAAAATGTTGCATACAATCGATTGCCACTAGTGGTATGTACGACAGCCGTCTCAACTATGCTTCTGAAGATTTGGGTGCGAAAATTGAACAGATATGTGCAGAACCCATTGATGGCACTAACATTTTTAAGAGACTTTTTGGCTTGGAATATAGTTCAAATCAACCACGTAATATGCTTAACTCTAATATGAGTCCTGGTAATTGTTTTGGTTTTCGAGGAACTAAAGCAGAAGTTATAGTAAAATTGGGTCGTCCAATTTATGTGGATACTATTGAAATACAACATATTCCAAAGAAATTGTCACCCAACGGAGATACTTCCAGTGCACCAAAAGTTTTCGAAGTTTTCGGCAAGGAGAGTTTAAGTAAAAGTTCTGTTCTACTAGGCCTTTTCGTTTATAATAACTCACAGGAAAGTCTACGGCAAGCCTTTGAAGTTTGCTCAATGGCCAAATATGCTTATGTACAAATAAAATTTCAACAAAATCATGGCAATCATTGTTATACTTGCATATATCGTTTAGTGGTATACGGTCGTATGGATAAATAATTCATACATTCTAATTTATTTGATTATTTTTTTAATTAATTTATTTTTTCATTGATATTTTTGATATTTTTTGTTTGTTTCAATTCTTAGAAAATAAACGTTAATTTAAATGCCTAAGTAATTATTTTTATATTTTATTTAAAAAAATCTTTTTTTTTTTTCAAATTAAACGATTAACTGTTGAACTTGAAATTCAATTTATAAAGAATTGAAAATATATGACCAATTATATTTCAAAATTAGTTATAAAGGTTTTATTTTTAGTTAATTTCTACTTTTTTTGATTAACTTATTTCTTTTTAAGACCTAGTGATAATGAAAGATAATAGTGATACACCGTCAAAGACCACCTCTTTGTCTTTGACAGCTTGAAGAATAACGTTTAATGAATTCATAAACCGACCAGATTGAGTAAATGAGAGCATCTGAGAGAGCGTAAGATCCCTGTCGAAATTTGAAAATGCTACACAGATTTTACTCGTACATTTTATTTCAAGTAAAATTTGTGTAATGTGTGAATCAGCTGTTTTGGTTTGAATTTAAATTTTTGTATTGTTTATTTGCGCGGCACTGTGTTCTTACTAGATTTTACACAAAGCTGGCCATGAAAATCTGTGTAAAGAGCGTAATTTGGCACTTTATTTGTGTTACATTCTCAGTTTGTATTTTATTTGTGTTTTACTTGAATTTTACTGTGAGTAGCACGTGGAACAGACCTAGTATAAGTAATATTTGATTAAAATATCTTGACAAACACCTGAGCAGCATTAGTTGCTGCTGTATGTATATTGTTCTCAACTTAATCGCTTTGTTTTAAAATTATTGATAAAATTTTACTTGCTAATTGTAAAAAAATAATTAAGGTTATTTTTGTATAAAAGTAAAAGTAAGAATTCATATATAATCAGTGAAAGGTGTAATATATTATAATATAAAATTTAATACTTGCCATCGCTTTAGAACACGTATCGTAAAAATCATTAATGTCAGATATTTTTATATGATGTTATTATGAACACATAATAAAATATATAAAATTTATGATATTATATATATTAATAACATATTAATATATATATACGTATTAATAACTGATTAAAAATCGTTGGTAATATTTTGGATTAAACACATACAACTATTATTAAATATAAGTAATATTAGATCATTGCTTTATCATTGCCTGTTCTTTATTTAATTACAAAATATTATTCATTTTATTTTAATGTTTCAATTTTCACTAAACATAATGAAATTTAATTTTAAACTAATGAAAAAAATACCATTAAAATTTATTAAATAATTTTTAAGTTTAATATAAAATTATTAGCCGTAAAATTTATGTTATATATATAAATTTAAATAATTCATTCCGGTTATAGGTTTTACTTTGTTGGTTTTGCAAAATAACATCTTATTAAATAAATTATATTATATATTTTTTATTTAATTTAAATCACTTTTATTTTGTTTAAAAACAATTAAATAAATTTTTCAAAATAAGTTTATAAATTTAGTATGGCCAATACAATCAGTAGTTATTCTTACGCTTGATAAATAAATAAAAAAATTTATTAATTAACTTGACATGACGTGACATATTTGGAAGATTTGTAAATAAATAAAATTATTTATAATTTTAATAATTTAAAATTAAAAATAATTATTATTATTTTTAATTAATACAAGTAACTAATAATTTTGATTTTGGAGATGAAGACTTTTTATTGGGAAAATAAATAAACTATTTGCTCTGATATTGCTTCCTACAGCCAACTCCAGTTATTCATTAAATAATAACTGTTTTTGCTTTTTTCGGTATTTCGGTATATTGAAGAACATAAGAACTGCGGAATAAAAATTAAATAATAAATTGTGTACTGACGAAACTTTACATAAAAATTGTATTGTTCTAAAAACTGCTTATTGTGATTAATTATTATAAACCTAAAATAGTGGTTTGTGAATATTCAAATAAAATAATTTTTAAAAAGGAATAACACAATATTTTTAACATATATTTTATTAACATAATTTAATAATAATTCACTTAAAAATATTAAAGATTTGCATAAAATATTTTTTTTTGTAATTTATTTTTTTTTGTAAAATTTTTAATTCGGTTTTTATGGAGTTAAAATTTTTTAAATTGAAAAAAAAACAAATTATTTTATGTTTTTATTTCATATTATGTTTAATATTAATCTATAACATAATAGATTTTTTTTAAATATATGTTTTACACATTTTATAAATTGTTTTACAAAATTAAATATTTTTTTATTTGGTGTTGTTGTTTAGTAAATTATTTTACACATTTAAAATATTAATTCATATATAGGTATATTCTCTTAGTACGGCATTTTAATTTTCACAATATTTTGCAAATTTATTTTTATTCTAACATATTTGGGATATACGGTTCTAAAGTTACGGCCGACACAACTGACACGTTCGCGGTCAACGGTTTCACGAAAACTAATTTTTTACGCCTCAAATATTAGTACTAATTAATTACACTAATTATTCAAGTTACGATATGTAAAGCAAAATTATATTCTCAGCTGCACAAAAGTAAAAAATTTTATGACCGTAAATGCGAAAAAATGGCACTAAAATAAATTTCGTTAAATCATTTAAGAAAAAACTTTGTTTAACTAATAATAACGGCGAAAGGTATATTAACCCTAAGTTAGTTAATTCATTGAGGGAAATACAAATTTAGTTTCAAATGCATTTATAATTATATTAAACTATATATAAATATTTAATGAGTTTTAATTACTCATAATTTTATATATTGTTTCTGTTGCTTTGGGAAATGTTGTTTTAAAATCGTTGATGTAATGTAATACTTTTACAGATTTGATAATATCTGAATTGATATTTACAATTATTATTAACATAATTATTATGAAAACAATAATTATATCAAAATATACAATACTGCATTGTTGTTTGTAGATATATATATATAAATTTGTTATAATTTGAAATTGTTAACTTTATGATATTATATTAGGGTATTTATAGTATGCACTTATTCACAGGCTTGCAAATTAAACAGTATCTTAACAGTATCTTAGCATCATTGCCTTAAACAGATGCAGCTGCTTGAGGCAATATTTCTTTTATAACTAAAACAAAGTGTGTTCAACAATCATAAGTAGTCTTGTATTTTATTTAAAATAAAACAAAGTTATTTTTAATCAGCATTTAAAGTGAAAATATGGCAACTCTATATTTGTGTTAAACAGCTAAACGAATATAATACCGAGGCTTACCACTAAGTTATAACGGTTTAGTTATTGTTGCTTAGTCATGTTAAATATTTCGCTAAGGTGAGATAAATTCTCCTACCCGAGTAGTTAGTAGTAAATTTTACAAAATAAAATGCTTGGCAATTAATTTATCTTATACGAGTACCGTATTGTCGTGTCACATTAAAAACAGAACTTTCATCTAAGGTTTTGCTATTTAATCTTACGGATCGTTTAGCAATCGCTGAACATGTTATAATTGTGAAAACTTATAAAAATAGTAATGATTTTCACTTCCAATTTTCTTTAGTGATGATTGCATATATTTTATTCGACAGATATGTTATCAAACAAAATTAACAAATTTGGGGTAGTAAAAATCTACAAGAAAATATTGAAAAACCATATCAGTTGTGACATTTAGAATGGAGCTAAATAAATCTTATGGTAAAAAATAAACCGCAATATCATAATTAATTTTATTGATTACAGCTTGGACATATGTTGATGCCATGGTATTGTTGGTAAGTAGACATACAGACATGCTTTGATTAATAATGTTTCCTCGCAAGTAGCTTAAGTAGGACATAATATCAAATATTTTCGAAAACTAATTGAATGAGAATCAGTCCAAATAATATATACCTTCTCTCTGAATTGCCAAGACATCGAAAATGTTCAGCAGTTTCAATATTTGGGAAGTGTGGTAAGCAGTGATGGTGGAACTATGATAGACGTAGATAATCATTTAAAGAAAGCAAAATGCATGTTTGGTTTGGAAAGTTAATAACGTGCATAGGTTAGAATCTTCAACGCATGTGTAAGATCTACTTTTCAATATGGTTGTGACACGTGGTAGGTTACTGCATCGTTGGTTCATAAGATCCAAACTTTTATTAAGAGGAACCTGAAGCGTACTATCGGTGTATGGTGACCTGCTAAAATTTCAAATAAAGACCTTTAGCATCATACCAATAGGAAACCGATAGAGAGAAAAATTTTACAACGAAAATACTGATGATTAGGTCCAACGTTAAGAAAATCAATGGGTACGATTACTTATGCTGTTATGAAATGATATACCCAAGGAGTGAGAAGACCAGGTCGACCGAAAAATATATGGCAAAAAACTATACAAGCTTCAGAGGATACAACATGACTTGTTTTGTCTTTTGTGTAAGAGAACTTTCTCGGATATGCAATTTAATATTTTGGTGAACTGAATTGACTACCAAATAATCAAGATTACGTGATGTGTCACCTCTGCACTTTTTTGTGGGTTCAAAAAAGTATTGAAAATCTTATTAATTAATTCTAAGTTTTTCTATAATCTTAATTATTTTAATTTGGAATTAAATGGTTCAATATCGAATGCATTTACTAATTGATGGATGACTTCATTGTCATTAATTACGCATACTTTTCTGTAGTTAAGTTTGTTGAATCTTAATTTTTTTACTACTTATTTATATATTTGCTTTAGCAACACATTTTATATATTATATAATAGATACTAACTAAAATCTATAAAATATATTTACATAAGTTAAAATACATAAGTTTTCCGGAAAATAGATATTGATGTAATCAATTGCACGTGAAGTTTATTTTAAAAAGTAATGTAACATGTGCTATAAGTCGTCTGTTAAAAAAATTATCATATTTTCTTTAGTTTTGTGTAGCTTCAATATTTTAAATGATTTAGTAATAATTTATTATAATTTATTATAATTTATCTAACTTACATGACATGAGACT